CGGGCTCTGCACAGCCCCCCGAGGCCCCGCCTCACCCCTCTGCCTGCACACCGGGCTCTGCACAGCCCCCCGAGGCCCCGCCTCTCTCCTCTGCCTCAGCCCAGGAGATGGCAGATACGCCTCGGGCTGCCTCTGGCTCCCGCCCTGGCCTCTGCAGTCTCTTCCTACAGCGCATCTGCCCTAGCTGCGCCAGGCTTTCCGAGAGGCCGCCATGTCCTGTCTCCCCACCTAGAACCTCCAAAGACTCGAAGGGCTTTCGAAAGACGTCCCCTCCTCAGCCTGCACTCGGGTCCTTGGCGTCAGGCCCTCACCCCCTCGCCCCCCACACTGCGTGCAGGCCACCTCTCGTGGTCCCTTCAGCAACTACAGCCACAGACCAGGGTAGCTATGCTCCGGGGGGGTGGGGGAGGGAGGGGGACAGGTGTGTAACAGACTTGCTGAAGGCCAGAGTGGGCAGAGCGCCTGCAGCCGGCTGGGTGGCCCTCCATGCACACAAGGGCTGGGCCTTCGTGTGGGGCAATGGAGGCCAGGCCAGGGCTGGGAGGAGGGACAGTCACTGTGCAGGACGGTTTCTCAGGAGACACCCACCTGGAGGTGTGGAGTGGGAAGGCCCAGCAGGAGGGTGGGGAGGCTGAAAGGGGGCGTGGCCCTGAGGAGGCAGTGCTAAGGGGGCGGCAGCTCCTACTGGTGTCTGCACGGACCGTGCAGGGCCCAGGGGGGTGCATCTGCCTAGGACGTCCTGGCCAAGCGGCAGGCTCCACACAAGCCTCAGGGAAGGTTCTGTCCTCCACTCCTTCCTCTGGAGCCCAGTCCATCCCCCAGAAGCCTTCCCTGGGGGCCCCAGGCTAAGCAGAGACCCCGGCCCCACCCTGGACCAGCCCCTGTGCCCATACCTGGCTCCCCAGCCCCCCCTGGTGCTGGTAGAGGGAGAACCTCTCTTTGGCAGACTCCTCGGCGGTGGGGCTGAGGGGCTTAGGGTCGGACAGAGACCGCTGCAGGGTCTTCACGGGGCGAGGCAGCGTCTGCTGGCGGAGCGCGCCGTCGGCCGCGAAGTGCTTCTGGGGACTCACGTGAGCCTTGCTCAGCCTCTCGCTGGAAGCAAAGGGCGCGTCCAGGAGCCGGTGTGGGGACAGGGGCGAGACTGGCGAGTAGAGGACCTGAGGGGACTTGGGAGGCTGGCGGCTCACCAGCTGTGAAAGGGACTCCGGGGGCAGGTGGGCCTGGTAGCCGATCTCCAGGGGATCCGGCTTCTTTTTCTCGAATCTGCCCAGGGGCCCTGGGGTGACGATCTGGATGCCGGGCAGGTAGGGGCTGATGGCGGCGGGCCCGATGAGCTGCGGCCCGGCCCCGCCCTGGGCCTGCCCGTCCGGCTCCGTCTGGCAGGCCAGGCTCTCCCCCCGCCCAGTCTTCT